GGTGTCAGCTATTATTTCTCCTCTTTCATTTCTCATATTGTGTAGGTGGGTTCTCTCTCTTTTTTTCTTGGTGAGTCTAGCTAAGGGTCCATCAATCTTGTTTATCTTTTCAAAGAACCAACTCTTTGTTTCATTGATCCTTTGAATTGTTTTTTTGGTCTTCATGCCATTTATTTCTGCTCTGATCTTTACTATTCCTTCCTTCTACTTGCTCTGGGGATTTCTTTCTGTTTGCTCTCTTGTTCTTTAAGTTGTGATAGTAGACAGTCTATTAGAAATTTTTCTTGCTTCTTGAGGTAGGCCTGTAGTGCTATGAGCTTCCTTCTTGGAACTGCTTTCACTGCATACCATAGATTTTGTGTTGTTGTGTGTTCATTTTCATTGGTTTCCAGAGTTTTTAAATTCTTCCTTGATCTCCTCGGTAACCCATTCATTGTTTAATAACATGCTATTTAGCCTCCATGTGTGAAATATCTTTGCATGTTCTTGTTGCAGTTGATTTCTGGTTTCATTCCTTTGTGATCTGAAAAGATGCTTGATATGATTTCAGTCTTCTTGAACTTGTAGAGACTTAGTTTGGTCTATCTTTGAGAATCTCCTATGTGCATTTGAGAAGAATGTGAATTCTGCAGTTTTGGGGTTTTATTATCTGTAGATGTCTATTAAATCTATTTGATCTAGCGCTTCATTTAGAGTCTGTTTCCTTGTTAATTTTTTTGTCTAGAAGATCTATCCAGTGATGACAGCGGGGTGTTGAAGTTTCCTGTTATTATTGTATTGCTGTTGATTTCTCCTTTGAAGTACTCCAAAAGATTTTTAATGTATGTTGGTGCTCTTATATTGGGTGCAAAAAATGTTTACCAACGTTATATTTTTCTGTTGGATAGATCATTTCAATATTATGTAGTGGCCTTTTTTGTCTCTAGTTGTGGCCTTCATTTTGAAATCTATTTTATCAGATATGAGTATTGCTACCCCAGCTTTTTTTTGCCTTCTGTTTGCTTGAAAGATTTTTTTCCATCCCTTCCCTTTCAACCTATGTCAGTCTTTTGTTATGAGGTGGTTTTCTTGTAAACAACATATATGTGAGTCATGCTTTCTCATTCAGTCAGCTACTCTGTTTCTTTTTATCGGAGCATTTGAACCATTCTCATTTAAGGTAATAATTGATATGTACTTATTTATAGCCATTTTTATTTAGTGTGGTATTTTTTTTCTTTCTATTTTTTTTTTTTTAACCAATTACAGCAGTCCTTTAACCATATGTTGCAGTGGTGGTTTGGTGTTAATATAGTCCCTTAGCCTGTTTTTGTCTGGAATGCTCTTTATTTGATCTTCTATTTTGAATGATGGCTTTGCTGGATGGTATAGTCTTGAATTCAGATCCTTGTTTTTCATGACCTTGATTACTTCATGTCACTCCCTTCTGGCCTGTAGTGTTTCTATTGAGAAGTCAGCTGAGAGCCTTATGGGGTTTCCTTTGTAGGTAACCTGTTGCTTATCTCTTGCTGCTTTTAGGATTCTCTCTTTGTCTTTAATTCTTGGCATTTTGATTACTGTTTATCTTGGTGTGGGCCTGTTTGGGTTCTTCTTACTTGGGGCTCTCTGTGCTTCTTAAACCTGAATGCCTTTTTTCTTCACCAAGTTAGGAAAGTTTTCTGTCACTCTTTCTTCAAATATATTCTCTAACCCTTGCCCATTTTCTTCCTCTTTGGGGACTTCTATGAAGCAAATGTTAATTATGTTTTCAGTTGTCCCACAGTTCTCTTAAGCTATCTCTCTGTTTCCTAATTGATTTTTCTTTTGGGTTTTCTGCTTGGTTTATTTTTTTTTCTACCCTGTTCTCTAATTCACTGATCCAGCCCTCAGCTTCCTCTGCTCTTTTGGTTCCTCCTTCCAATGTGTTCTTAATTTCTGCTATGTCATTCTTCATTTCCACTTGTTTAGTTTTCAGTGTTTCTATATCTTTACCCATGGTGCTGATGTCCTTACTTATGCTGTTGATCTTCCTCAAGATCTTTGCTCTGAAGTCTATCTCTGATAATTTGCTTAACTGCATTTCATTGATCTCATATTTGATAGAGTTCTCTTGTTCTTTCATTTGGGATTTGTTTCTTTTTGTCACCATTTTGGCTTTCTCACTGGATGTTGGAGTCTGACAAATTTTCCTGTGGGTATTGGTGTTCTGCTGTTTGTGGCTCCCTCTACTGGGTTTGGACAAGCCTGTGTTAAACACCACTGTCAAGTCTTATTTTGCTGGGTAGATTTGCAAGCCCAGGAAAGGTTCAGTTTATCGTAAAGCTTTTTCCTGGTAGCTAATAGTCTCAGTTACTCAGTGCCTTGGAATGTTTCCCTGGTGTTCTGCCTAGGAGTTTTTCCAGAGTGTGGGATAGATGCTGGTTGTTAATGAGCCTTAATTTGCATTTTTTGCCTTACCTGGGAAAAGCTGAATATCTGAGGTGGGGGCAGCTGCTGCTTTTCCCTTTCAGCTCTGGGAAAGAGCACACTGGCCACTGTTCTTTGTGTCTGCAACTCTGCAAAAATTCTGAGTGCCCTCCAAATCCCAGGTGTCCCCACAAAGTCTGCCAGCCCAGTCTGTCTTCCCTCTGCCCTAGTCCCCAGGAGAGTGGCTGTGGCTGTTTTAGTGCTCTGTCCTGGCTGTCTGCTTTGTGGAGAGGGCTGGGTCTTTATTCCACAAGGACATTGTCCACGCCTAAGACTGCTACTGTCTGTGGGCTCCCAGCCCTCCACCTTCTCACGCCTCTTCAAATCCTACCAGTGTTCCTGGTTATATGGTCTTGTCCTGCTGCTTTTCTGGTGTTGGGCTTCTGGCTGTCTGCGGCTTCTGTGACAGGCACCTTGGGAGCTCCACTGCTGTACACTGGTCTGTGTTGACGTCGATTGTCCACTGGTCCAATAGTGCCAGGTGCCCTGGTTGGCTCAGGTTGCTGGGCCCTAGATGCTCCCACTGCCTCCTCCCAGGGAAGGGATCTATAGTGCTGGGATCTTCTAGGACCTCTCAGTGGCGCAGGGAGAAGCACCCTGGAGAGCCGCTTACCGTGGCAGCTGGCTGCTCCCGTCCACAGCACAGGAACTTTCTGCTCCCTGTCTCTGCACTGCTCATGTTTAATCGTCCACCTTCACGTCCACTCACACTCTCACACATTAGCTCACTCGGTCACACACTCACCTTCCCTCTGTCCTGCTGCCATTTTCTTCTACTTTTTTATTTTATAGGGTGTTTTTTACAAACTTCCGCAACTGGCATTTCTTGTTGGCCTTGTGGGGAGCAAGCAAGGAAGTAGAGAAGCGAAGGCAGTTAGTGATAACGGGAGGGAATGAAGGTGGGAGGGAGCTGAAGCGGAAGGGAACTGGGTGAACTGGGTCATCGCATATTCATCCTGCTATTCATTTTATTTTCTAAGTTCTAAAAACTAAGAAATTTGCTTCGAGGACAAATTCATTTAGAGGAGTACCAGGCCAGGTGGTACTGACTCAGTGTGCCTCTGAAAGCTTCATAGTTGGCCTTTTGTTTATTTAATCTGGATGAGGTGATAAGAGCAGGCCAGTACACAAAGCAGGTATGATCCTTGTCCTAAAGGAACTGGCATGACTACTAGCTTGAAATACAGAATACTTTTCCCTTGTAGGAAATCAGTTTTTTGTATCCTAGAATGCATAAGAAAATGAATCCAGATTGGTTGAGAACATGGGGAAGCCCAACTCCCTTTTACTATGGCACAAAACAATAGGAGACTGCTCCAGGAGGGACTGCCCTAGAAGGTACATTCAAGATGTTTGTTATTAAAGTGGCCATTTGCACATTTGGATTCTTACTGGGGTGTGAACTTGTTTGAAAATCTTTCCAGAGGTCCCCAAATTACCATTCACAGCTTCTCTTTCACCTAGTGTAAATGACCACTTTTATGATTCAGCTTCTGGAATAGGAAAAAGATCCTATGGAGCATTACCTCAGTTTCTTAATTATTCAGTAGAAAGTCTCACTGAAATAAAATTATACCATCCAAGTATGTTCTACTTTTGGAACAGCAATCATTAAAAAATACAGTTAAGTAATATTTTATATGTTTAGCATGGTATAGTTATAGCAGAGGACTAAATAATACTCCCTTTTTGCTGATGAGAATGTTAATTAGTGTAGCTCATCAAAAGCCTAGGAAGGAGATACCTAAACTTGAACCTAGAATTCTATAAAAATTTACCCTTTGGATTTTTCTGTGTGTAGTAATCTTTAATTCACCATTATGTAACAACAGTGAAACATTAGTAGTGACCAAAATAAGGAATTGGATATACTCTAACCATTAAATTGTATCTCAGGCTGTGGTTCTTGATATCAAAAGACATTTGGGACAAATTATTAAGTGGGATTTTAAAAGAGTTCTATTTTTACTTGGAAAACATAGACCATAAGATGTTAACAGTTATCTCTTATAACAGAGTTTTTATTCTGCATACTTTTAAATGACATACTTTTATGTCAGAAAAATCCAGATACAAATGGTGAAAGGTATAGGGGGTTGATACTATTTTAATCTTGTAAATGACTAAAAGGTTCCCTTTGGTACATTAAAATGGAACTGATTGGGTAACCGTTTTAGGTAAATTTTAAAAAGTTTTACTGAGAGTTCTGTTAGTGTTATAGTGCTACTTAAATTATGACATTTTTTGCCCAGCTTTTGTGGCTCAGTGGTTGAGCATTGACCCATGCACCAAGAGGTTGCTGGTTTGATTCCTGGTCAGGGCACATGCCCAGGTTGTGGGCCAATCCCCAGTTGGGGGCATGCAGGAGGTGTCCAATTGATGTTCTCTCTCATTGATGTTTCTCTCTCTCTAAAATCAATAAAAAAACATTTTTTTAATTATGATATTTTAAAAATGTCCTCTGATTTTGTAATGTTTATGGCTTGTTTTATAATTTAGTCTATAAAATAAGATTATTACATTTGATTTTTTAATTCACGTTTTTACTCAATTAGGTAAAGGAGGTAAAAACAGGCGTAGGGGTAAGAATGAGAACGAATCTGAGAAAAGAGAATTAGTCTTTAAAGAGGATGGACAAGGTAAGACTTTTTAAAGTTAACATTTTTTTTAGTGTGAATTTTAGTCTTAAACCTGAGAGCAATCAATCATAATCCTGAGGAGCTATTCATATGTCTCTACTTTGCTTGTCCTCACTTGTAGTCCTTTATATTTCTCCATTATTTGTCTGTTAAATAACCAACTATATACTAGGTCTGAGTAGAAGATTAACTGGTAACATTTTGTAATAATAGATTTTATCACTTTGTATGGAATAGCATGATCTAACTGACAGTGAATTTTAGGATTTAAGTCAAATTAATCCTGAATGCTGTCATTGAAAATTTCATTATCCTGTGTGGTAGTGAGTGATGTTATGCATTATTCAGTAGACCATGGATGTTTGTGAGGGCTTTTGGTCCTCAGTTCTCTGGTGCCACTAGTATATCGTGTAATAAAACATGAAGGTAATAAATTGACTGTTAATGTTAAACTTACAGAAAAGTTAGAATATGAGTTCAAAACTTCCATCTATTTTTTTACCCAGATTTACTAATTTTTAAGATTTTTCTACATTTTCTTTCTCTTTGTACACATGTACATTTTTTCCTAACTTTTTAAACTTTCTTATATATATATTTACAGATTTCAACATATACTACTTCAGCATACATCTCCTGAGAACAAGGACTTTTTATAACAACAATAGAACTATTACTGAAATCATACTATTTTCTAGTATTGTTCTGTCTACTGTGGTAGCCTCTAGCCATATGCAGCTATTTAAGTGAATTGAAATTCAAATTTTGAGCTAGTGATTATCGTATTGTTCAAATTAGATATTTAATGTTCCACCAACAGAAAATTCTGTTAGATTGTGCTGACCCAGTATATAAACTGTATCATGTTTCTCCAGTTGTTTCAGTATTTCTAGCACTTTGCAACAAAACTATGTGATCATTCATGCCATACATGCAAAACACAAAGGAAATAACATTTTTATTAGTTATATAAAACATATTTTCTAGTGAGATAGTCTGTTATTTAGCTATTATCTTTCTCACTTCCATTAGAAGTTTGTTTTCAGGGCTCATTTCTAATTTTTTCTCCTTTTTACCAATGTTGAAGAAGTGCTAGGTTCATGGCTGTGATCAAAGGGACTTACAGCCATATATCAATCCCACAACTTGTATCTGGTTTATCTCTCAGTATAATTATAAATTTGTTTAGGCTCTTTTTGCAGTTAGGTTAGTACATTTTAGTACTGTGAATTTTTTTTTTTGGTATGTGCCCCTAGAGGGAACCGAACCCGGGACTCTCTGGTCCATAGGCCAACGCTCCAACCGCTGAGCCAAACCGGCCAGGGTAGTAGTGTGAAAATTTTATAGTAATACCTGTTTCTCTCTTTTCACTTCCACTCTCTTGCTTTTGTCATTTATACCTGGAAAGAGACTGTCTCATACTGTCTAAATCTCATGTATTATCAATCTTATCTAGTGGCAGAGGAATCAGTTGGCTTCTTGAGGACACTGGAAGTATTTTAATTAAATATTTGGCATTTTATCAGGAACATTTTTTTAAGAACGATATTTGTCAAGATATTCTGAAGTAAACAAAAGTTTATTGAAAAATAACCTACTGTTTTAGTCACTCAAGTTTCTGAGGGAAAGGAGAGCCAGGATTGGGCTAATAACTAAGTGAGAAAGATTGATAAGCCAGTGTTATAATGTACATTTTGGAATGAGTCACTTTGTTGTATAAAAGTAGAGCATATAGTTATGAATAAGGAGTGAATGAATTTACTCAAAATAAGAAGATAATTAAAATATTCCTGATAAGAGAGAGTTTGTCATGGAAATGCCTATGACAAATTATTGATTCTGTAGACTTTCATTTTAATTTTTATTTTTTATCCTCACCCGCGGACATTTTTCCATTTTTTGTTCAGATAGAGTGGGAGGGAGAGAGAAAGAGGAGAGAGAGAGAGAGAGAGAGAGAGAGAGAGAGAGGAAGAGAGAGAAACATCTGCGTGAAAGGGACACATTGAGTGGCTGCCACCCACACGACCAACCAGAGCTGGGGACAAACTGCAAGCAAGGTATGCAGCCTTAGCGGGAATCACACCTGGGTCTCTCTGCACCGCAGGCTGACGCTCTAACCGCTGAGCTAAAGCGGCCATGGTGACTTTCATTTTCTTTAAAAATAAAAGGGTGAAGTTAATAAGCATGGCTGGAAGAGGCTATAGAATTTTTGTGTATGTGTATATGGCTTGAAAGAACATCCATTTATTATTATTTTACAGTTTTTGTAGGTCAGAAGTTTTGGGCAGGGCTAAACTGGTTTCTCTGCTTAGGGTCTCTTAAAGTTGAAATCAAGGTTTCTTTCTGGAGCTTGTTTTCTCTTCTGAGTTCACATTGTTGTTGACTAAATTCAGTTCCCTATGGCTGGAGGACTAACACTTACCTTTTTTTGCTAGGTGTGGGCTGGTAACAATCTCAGCATGGCTCACTCTATAGCCTTTCATACTAACAGTCTTCTGACTTAGTCCCCCTCCACTCATATATAATATAACAAAGTCATGGAAGTGACTAACACATCATCATTTGCCGTATGACACAGCCAATCATAACCTAATCAGGGATATGACTAGCCTGTGATATTCAGAAGTTCCATCTCCATTAAAGTGTAGGAGAACATACTAGGCCTCTACACCATGTGGTAGAAATCTTAGAAATCATCTGAGAATTCTGTCTACCACAACATGACAATAGAATTCAAAATTGAAAACCAAAATTATTAAACCATGTGACCGTTGAAGAGTTCTGTCATTTTTTTTTGAATAAAATTAGAATGTATCACCTTGAAAAGACTCTCAGGGTAGAATACTTAAGCTTTTTTGCATATCTGTCCTTAACCTTAAAAAACAAAATTATAGTTTGATTTAAATTGAGCAGTAAAAATATGTGTTAATTTCAGTTATTAATATTTTAAGAAAAATCCCACAGTATCTCATACTCTTTTTTTCCCCACCTCAGAATATGCTCAGGTAATCAAAATGTTGGGAAATGGACGATTAGAAGCAGTGTGCTTTGATGGTGTAAAGAGGTTATGTCATATCAGAGGAAAACTGAGAAAAAAGGTAGGTGTGGAGATTTAATTTATACCAAAAAAATTTTTTTAAAGAGTGGTTCTGTTTTAGATATATGTGGGCCAATCAACTTATTTTTCTGAGTTTCAAAGATAATTCTAAGAATTGTGATTTATAAGACAATGTAAAATAAGAACTTTTATAATAGAAAATTATGTTTACAAAAAATTATTTGCTTCTCTTCTCCTGTGTTGTGTTTCTGCCAGAAATACTTACTCTTCATGTAACATTGAGGAAACAGTGAGACAAATCCAATCTAAAAAAAACATGCCGTGATATAAACAATAAAAGTTGGAGAATTAGTTTCTGATTAAAAGAAACTAAAAAGATTACTAATTGAATATAGTGTATTTTCCTTGATTAGATTTGGTTTTAGGGAAACAGCTGTGCATATTAGTAGTTTTAAATTGGTATATACAGGATGATATGGTTAGGTCTTCATCACAGTAGTTCAGGCAGGTTTACTGACCACATGTTTAAAGTCTCTTCAGCTCTGATTTTATGATTTAAAAAAAAATTTGGTTTCTTAATCCATTGTTTTCCAAATTAATGGAAGTTAATTCAGTTTTAGGGCTTGAATTTTTGTAGATTGGTGACTGGGTGTCTATGTAGATGACTGATTTGCATACATTTCAACCAATTAAATATTATAAGAGTGCTTTGTGCTTAAAAATCTATGGTTTTGCCCTGCCCAGTGTGGCTCAGCAGTTAGAGCGTCAGCTTGCGGTCCAGAGAGACCCAGTTCGGTTCCCGCTAATGGCACGTACTTTGGTTGCAGTTTGTCCCCGGACCTGGTTGGTCGTGCGGGTGCCAGTCACTCAATGTGTCCCTTTCACATCGATGTTTCTCTCTCTCTCTCTATCTTTTTTTTTTTCTCTCTCTCTCACTCCCACTCCCACTCCCACTCTATCTGAACAAAAAAATGGAAAAATGTCCTCGGGTGAGGATAAAAAAAAAAAATGTATGGTTTTGTCTGGCTGGTGTTGCTCAGTGGATGGAGCGTTGTCCCATGGACTGAGAGGTCCTGAGATTCCCTGTCAGGGTACATGCCTGGGTTGCAGGATAGATCACCAAGTAGGGGGCATGCAGGAGGCAGCCAATTGATGTTTCTTTCTCACATCAATGTTATCGATGTTTCTATCTCTCTCTCCCTTTCCCATTCTCTAAAAAATACAGTTTCTTTGACAAGTTATTCTTTTACCATTTTTAAATTTTCAAGTAATTTAAATGAAATTGCTACATATTTTAATATCATAAATAGAAAAATTTGAGACAAATTCACCTATATACTATAGTCTTTCCTAATATACTATTGTGTATAACTAGATTTTTTTCCCATATATATTTATACACACAGACAGAAGTATAATATAATGGATACTGCAGTTTTTCCCTGATTTTTCATGTTTTAGTTTAACATTACTCTTTATTATTTGTTTTTATTTTAGATATAATGTGTAGTAAATTTTCTTTTATAGGTTTGGATAAATACCTCAGACATTATATTGGTTGGTCTTCGAGACTATCAGGTAACAATTACATTTACATTTGTTTTGTATTTAGTAAGTCATTTATATTTAAAAGATACGATGTAAACATATTTGACCAGCTCTAGTCATCAGAATTTACTAAGGGCAAGTTTTGTTTAAGACTGTGGTTATTTCTCTAACTCATAATAATTTCCACAGTGATTAATTGTTCATATATTTTGTGGGACATCTGGTTGGTTCAGTATTGCTATAGGTTGTTTTCATTTTAAATATGATATGCAATTAATAATCTCTTACAGGTTTGGGGTAAATACCAAAGATCATTCTGTTTTTATTTACTTAAAGATCACTTGTGTTGTAGGCATTATGATAGTTATTTCAGGGATTATGGGTCCCAAATACCAGTCTGTGTAATATTGGTGCAGGCTGAACTATTTACTGTTTTGTGCTGAAATGAGAAAATATATAGGTAATTTATAGTTCTTTCACGAAGCAAAATATTTTTCTTTACCTTTTCTGAAATGAGAGTGATAGTATTTGCTGGTGGTTTTTACTTGTGAAAACAAAAATTTAGTTATCACCAACTTTAATTTAACTTATTTATTTATAAAAATCCTCACCTGAAGATATTTTTCCCATTGCCTTTTTGGGGGAGGGAGGGAGGGAAGAAAGGAAGGAAGGAAGTAACATTGGAAGGGGATAGAGAAAGAAAAAGAAACGTGTGAGAGAGACACATCGATTGGTTACCTCCTTCACACATTGCGATGGTGGCCAAGGATTGAATTTGTAATTAGTTTTGTGCCCTTGATTGGGAGTTGAACCCATGACCCTTTAATGTGTGGCCAACATGCTAACCACTGAGCAACACCAAGCAGGGCTTTTTTTTTTAATTTCAAGGACTGAAAACCCAAGTCCAGGAAACTGCTATTCTAGGGAGTACAGCCAATTTATTTATTTATTTATTTATTTATTTATTTATTTATTTATTTATCCATCCTCAGCCGAGAACATTTTTGCATTTATCTTCAGATAGAGCGGGAGGGAGAGAGAGAGAAACATTGAGTGGTTGCCACCCACAAGACCCCAACAGGGCCAGGAACCAACTGCAGCCAATGCACATGCCCTTAGCAGGAACCGAACCTGGGCCTGTCTGGTCTGCGGGTAGATGCTCCAACTGCTGAACCAAACTGGCCAGGGCAGTACAGCCAAATTAAAGTCATACCTTCCATGCTCCAGAAGCTTTACAGTATGATAGAAAGATATGTGCCTTACTAATAGTTACAAAACAGTGTTATAAAAGTATATGGTATAAATTTGAGAAGAGCACTTAAAAACAAACATGATAGTTGCCCTCTATGATCCCAGCCTTCAGACTATACTATAGTTGGTCAAATGCATTTGATTTTTACCTATTGGAATACATCACCATATGTTTAATTTTGTAATGAGTTTGAAAGTATATCTATTTTATTCGGTTATTAGGTGTAGTTTTCTATAGATATCTTTTTAAGTCTAGCTGGTTTATAATATTTCACTCTCCTGTTTTCTTATTTATCTTTTTTATAATTATTCTATACATTATTAAAAGACATATTGGAAGGTAGTTATTTGTTCTATCTAGACTTTCTGTTTTTTCAAAATAATGTCTTGAATTTCTCTGAGACATTCCCTTAAATAGTTTTATACTTAAAAAAAAAAATTTATTGATTTAAAAATCTTTTAAAAATTTTTTTTGTTTATTGATCTTAGAGAGAGAGGAAGGGAAAGGGAGAGAGAGATAGAAGCATCAATGAGAGAAAACATCCACAGGCTACCTCCCCTTCTGGGGATTGGGCCCACAACTTGAGCATGTGCCCTGACCTGGAATTGAACTGGTAATCTCTTGGTACATGGGTCAGTTCTTAACCTTTGAGCCACACCGGCCGGGCTAGACATTCTTTTTCGTTCTTTAAACATTTATATTACTTGTTGTAAAATATTTTTATTATTATTATTATTTTTTTTGTTACACACATTTTTTCTTTTTCCCCCTGTTGAATCCCTCCTCCCGAACACCTCCCACCCTGTCCCCAGTTTTGTTGTCTATGTCCATTGGTTATGCGTACATGCATATAAGTTCTGTGGTTTACCACACCCCCTACCCAATTCTGAGGAATGTTAGACTATATTCTACTTCTATGTCTCGGGGTCTGTTTTCTTCATCAATTTGTTTAGTTCATTATATTCCAGCAGTAAGTGAGGTCATATAATATTTGTCTTTCTCTCCTTGACTTGTTTTGCTTAGGATAATATTTTCCAGGTCTCTCCATGTCATGTCAATAATAAGAGAACTTTCTTTCTTACAGCTGCATAGTACTCCATTGTGTGTATTTGTACCACAGCTTTTTTTCCCCACTCGTCTACTGATGGACACTTGGGCTGTTTCCAGATCTTAGCTATTGTAAATAGTGCTGCTATGAACATAGGGGTACATATATTCTTTCTGATTGGTGTTTAAAGCTTCTTAGGGTATATTCCTAGAAGTGGGATTATTGGGTCAAATGGCAAAAAATTTTTAATTTTTTGAGGTAATACCATAGTGGCTGTTCCAGTCTGCATTCTCAACAGCACTGTACTAGAGTTCCCTTTTCTCCAAACCCTCACCAGCACTTGTTATTTGATGATTTGTTGGTGGCCATCAGGTGTGAGGTGATACCTCTTTGTGTTGTTTTAATTTGATCTCTCCAATGATTATTGACATTGAGCATTTCTTCATATGTCTCTTGGCCATTTGTATGTCCTGTTTGGAGAAGTGTCTATTTAGGTCCTCTGCCCATTTTTTAATTAGGTTCTTTGTCTTTCTGTTGAGTTGTGTGAGTACTCTATACATTTTGGAAATTAACTCCTTATCTGATGTATCATTGGCAGTTATGGTCTCCCATATTGGGTTCCCTTTTCATTTTGATGGTTGTTTATTTTCCTATGCAGAAGCTTTTTACTTTGATGTAGTCCTACATGTTCATTGTTTCTTTTGTTTCTGTTGCCTTAGATGATATGTCATTGAAAATTCTGCTGCGTATGATGTCTGAAATTTTGTTGCCTGCATTTTCTTCTAGGATTTTTATGAAATCACGAGTTACATTTAAGTCTTTTATCCATTTTGAGTTTATTTTTGTGTATGGTGTAAGTTGATTGTCTAGTTTCATTTTTTTGCAAGTAGGTGTCCAATTTTCTTAACTGTCTTTACTCCACTGTATGCTCGTCTCCCCTTTGTGAAATATTAATTGAGCATATTGTCTTGGGTTCATTTCTGGGTTCTTTATTCTGTTCCATTGATCTATTTGCATGTTCTTGTGCCACTACCAAGCTGTTTGGATTACAGTGGCTTTGTAGTATAACCTGATGTCTGGTAATGTGATCCCTCCTACTTTGTTCTTCTTTTCAAGATTGTTGTGGCTATTCTGGGCCTTTTTTGGTTCCATATAAACTTTTGGATTACTTGTTCTAGTTCTGTGAAGTATTTTTATGGGGATTGCATTGAATCTATGTAGCTTTGGGTAGTATGGGTATTTTAATGATGTTGATTCTTCGATGTTAATTCTAACATATCCATGAACAAGGTATATGCTTCCACTTTTTAATATCTTCTTCAGTTTTTTTTTTTTTTTTTTTAATGGCCTGTAGTTTTCTGTATATTTCTTTGCTTAAGTTTATTCCTAGGTATCTTAATTTGCTTGCTGCAATGGTAAATGGAATTTTTTTTTTAGTTTCTCTTTCTGTGAGTTCATCATTGGTGTGTAAAAATGCCTTTGATTTCTTGACGTTAATTTTGTATCCTGCTACTTTGACAGATTCATGTATTAAGTCTAGTAAATATTTGATGGAGACTTTAGGGTTTTCTCTGTACAATATCATGTCATCTGCAAATAATGACAGTTTCACTTTCTCCTTTCCAATTTAGATCCCTTTTATTTTTTTGGTCATGTCTAATTACTGTGGCTGAGTCTTCCAATAATATGTTAAATAAGAGTGGTGAAAATGGTCATTCCTGTTTGTACCTGTTTTTAAGGGAAATGATTTTACTTTTTGCTCATTATGATGATCATTGTAGGTTTTTCATGTATAGCCTTTATTATGCTGCAGTAGGATCCCTCTATTCCCACATTGCTAAGTGTTTTTATCAGAAATGAGTGCTGGCCATGGCCAATTTGGCTCAGCGGTTAGAGCGTTGCCTGCGGTCCAGAGAGACCCTGGTTTGATTCCTGCTAAGGGCACATACCTCGATTGCAGTTGGTCCCCTGCCCTGGATTGGTCATGTGGGTGGCAGCCACTCGATGTGTACCTTTCACTCTGATGTTTCTCTTTTTCTCTTTCACTCTCCCTCTCTCTCCCTCCTGCTCTATCTCAATGAAAAATGAAAAAATGTCCTTGGGTGAGGATTAAAAAAAAAAAGAAATGGGTGCTGGATATTGTCAAATGCTTTTCAGCATCTATTGGTATGATCATATGGTTTTTATTTTTCATTTTGATTATGTGGTATATCACACTTATCGATTTGAAAATATTGTACCATCCTTGGATCCTGGGGATGAATTTCACTTGGTCATGGTGGATTATTTTTTTGATGTATTGCTGGATCCGATTTGCTAATATTTTGTTAAGGATTTTGGCATCTGTATTTATGAGGGATATTGGCCTGTAGATTTTTTTCTTTTTACTGTCTTTATTCGATATTGGAATTTGGATTATTGGTGGCCTCAAAATGAGATTGAAAGTCTGCCATTTTCTTGGATTTTCTGGAATAGTTTGAGAAGAATGGGTATTAGCACATCCGGGCCTGTGCTTTTGTATGCTGGGAATTTCTTAATTACATCTTCAATTTTCTTTGTTACTGGTCTATTCAACTTTTCTATCTGTTCCTGGTTCAGTTTTGGGAGACTGTGTGTTTCTAGAAATTTGTCCATTTCTCTTAGATTGTTCAATTTGTTGGCATATAACTATTAATAGTATGTTTTTTTTTAATAAATTTTTTATTTATTTTTTTGTTACAGATATTATAC